ATGTTGGATCTTCATTCATGTCTTCATCATAGATTCCATTAAAGTCTGGATCCTGTGTAATATCAACCAACCCTTCACAGTAAAAAAGAAAAATTTTAGACAGTGAAAGCTTCATCCTTGACTTTCTTCTGGATAGCAGATTGAACATAGACTGTCATCTTGAAATCCTGCTAGGATTACATTTTTAAAAAACAACAAGACATAATAAAATAGTATAAGATGAAAAGCAGATGGATGAATCGGCTACTCAGCAGAGAGAAGAAAGATAAAAACCAATAGAATTTAAAAAATATATTTCCTCTAATAATCCCTCTAAGAGCTATTCATTTTGGCAGAAAGAAACATAAAACCATGGACACACAATTTTTTTTCCAGTACCAGGGATCAAACTCAGGACTTTGTATTTGTGAGGCAGGCGCAGCACCACTGAGCTAAATCCCCAGCCTCTAAATCCCATTTTTAATCAAGAAAAACATGGAAGAACAACAGGAAAGTGTGGTATCCCCTTAATCAGGGAATCAGCTTTTTCTTTGTATAAAAAAATATATTTTGCTTTTTCAGGCCTAATATGATGAACTTATTCTTTTTTGCTAATAAGGGAAGCTAAACATATATAATAAACTATGAACCTTCTGGTAGACTAATCATGATGAAACAAGAATTAAAACTTTTTCTAAATTTTGAAAAATGACACCTTTCCTATGTTTTATTTTCTTGCCATTTACAATGAAATTAGGATTTTTCTTATCAAATTGTCTCCTAAAGATAGTTATATGTACAATGTTACCCTCAATCTGAACTTGAGAAAGCTATGTGGACTGATAAAATATGACTTTGTAGAAAATGTAGAGTTTGGGACACATGAGCTTTAAAGTGTAAATGAAACATCAACCCCAACCTTTCTTTTTCCTTTTTCTTCTTCAATTTATATAAAAGGCTGAAAGCTCTTGGGTTTTTAAAAAATGGCACTGTAAATTAGTTATCGACATAAAGACATTATAGAGAAATGGAAGCGATTCTGACATCTTAATCTACATATCAGCCAGCGGATTTTTGATACCACCAAAACTTTTTGGTTTGCAGTGGGCGGAGCTAGCAGAGAGGGTACCACAGCACCCCAAGAAGGCTTAGAAATTGCAAGTCTCATAGGGAGCCCAGGAAGGTCACGGTGTAAAATAAAAGCAATGATTTGAAAAAAAAAAAAAAGGACTGGTTCAAAAGCTGAGGAAAGTACAGGTAGACCTCAGGTAGCATAGCCTTGCCCCTGTCCTCACTAAAAGCTGTGAAGCCCCGCTGAGGGCCAGGAGGAGGCCCTTGTGCTGAAAGGAATAGGGAGAGACGGAGTGTTGAATCGGGAGAGCACCGCCTCTTCCATTCTTTTGGCCCCAGATTCATTGCTTCCTTTCAGGAAGGAGCCTGGAGCAAACAGACCAACCGAAGATAAAAGACAGAGATGTACGGAATGTGTGATGGACAAGCTCCCCAGTGACACATCAGGGTTTCCTCTGACCCCCAGCATCCGCTCTGCCTCACAAGGAATGAGAACGGAAGGATCAGCAGGCAGGGAAGCCCCTCGGATGAGAAGGCGCGCCCTCGGATGAGAAGGCGCGCCCTCGGAGAGCTGAACTGGTTCCCCCGAGGTGGGAGGGTGGTGTCAGAAACGACCTCTTGGGAAAAAAGGACCTCGCCTTTCTGTGGACAGGTGCTCCACGTTTCTCTTCGAACGTCTGGTACTGAATTAGTAATACAAATATGGAAAACTTTAGCTACTTCAAAGAATACAGTTCATGTCATGAATAAACACAAAGTTATGGAAGTATGATCATATGTAAATTAGCTGGGGAAAATATGCTATAAGTCAATAAATAATGAGAGAAGTTTTAACCAAAATTGGATAAAACTTTAGAGGATGCGGGACAGGAAACACAACATCGAAGTATTTAAACTTGGATACTAATTTCTCTTTATCTCATCTCCTGTCCTTGCTTTTGCTGCTGAGCGCTAGCTTGTTTCTAAATGCCTAAAAAATATCTTTACCTGAACGACACAGAATCGCTTCAAACTAAATTCTTGCCCCCACAATCTGCTTTGCCTTTATTCTCTCAGGGTAATGGTTCTATTTACCGATTGTCTCTCAAATTAGAAACTGAAAAGTCTCCTTCAATTTGTTATTAACCATTTAATTTCTACATGTACTGAAAGTTTACTGTGTGCCAGGCACTTAATAAGGTGCCGAGAATTTAAAAACAAAAATGACAATTTTCTCTGCTCTTTAGGAGAAGTTTAAGATCTAGTAAAGAAGATAAAGATGAAGCCAATCATTGCAATATAAGATATGAAGTATTTTCTGTGTCCAAGTACAGTGTGTACAGGTAAGAGTCCTAATAGGCAATGTCTGAATCATGCATCCGGAAGTCAGTAGCAATAACCCAGGGAAGAATGTCAAAGAGCTGGGTGAGGTAGACAGACAGAGGGGCATTCCAGATGGAGGAGAGGAAATGAACAGAGGCATAAAAAATACCCATTCCATGTTACTAGTTTGTGAGATTGAATAAGCACCCCCTCATTTCAATCAAAAGCTCCCTTCCTTCCCTCGTTTTGCTGTCATGAGACTTCGTTCTTTCCATCCATCACCCAAAGCTCCTATAGTGGGTCTAAGAATCCAGGAATTTGTCAGCTGAAGAGCTCTACACTACTTAAAATCCTTTCTCAGAAAACTGGGTAATATGACCAGATTTTTGTTGAGCTCTATTCTCTACTGCTGTTGCCACTATGTATTTTTAAACAAATGACATTGCTGGTGGATTGGTATAATGTAAAGCTGAGAGGCCTTGGCCAAGACTGATTTTCAGTAGTCTGCCCTCCAGGAAAAGCAGTTGGCCCTCTCTAGAAACCCTCTCTAGCACAGTTTAAGGCACCACATGGTCAGTGACAAGGTTTGAACCTGGTTTCCCTGTGATGTCAAGAGAAGAGCTGCTGACTTCCCAAACATGACAGATAACCTGAGCAGGCAGGCTGCATGCTTGCCACCAGATGGCTGCTACCACAGGGCTTTCGTGTCAGCTCCCTGGTCACACCGTTGTAGAAGGGGGTGCATCCTGAGCCTCAAACATCAAGTTTGAAGGGTGCTTCAAGTTCTCAGGAGTAACACTCTGTATCAGATACCTTTTGATCATATCTCACATCCTTTCAGACCACATTTGAAAATTCTTTTTTTTGGTACTGGGGATCGAACTCAGGACCTTGTGCTTGTGAGGCAGGTGAGGTGCCACTGAGCTAAATCCCCAGGCCCTGAAAATTCTAATTGTTGCATCAACTAACTTCACACAAATATAACCTGACTGCACCTTGCCACAGATGTACCATGTGACTCTTATTTTTGTTCCAAGGCTTCTCTGCTTCTACCGTGTTGGAATCCTGATGGGACCCATCAGCCTTTCTGATGCATAAACAGATCTGCAAGCATGAGAGAATCCCCCCAACTCCACGCAGACTTTCATGCATGGGGGACAGGAGGCAGTGGATACACACTCCTGTCTTCCATTCTGCCTTAATCCATTTGGGCTCCTACAACAAAATGGCACAGAATGGATAGCTTTTATACAATGGAAGTTCATTTTATTACAGTTCTGGAGAGTACGAAGCCCAAATAAAGTCAGATTTGGTGTCAAGTGATCTGGGTTCATTTCCTGGTTCATAGATGGTGCATTAAGTGTCACTAACTACTAAAATGATGTCTCATTTACATTTTAAATTACCTGAAATAGCCTTGGAGTTCCTATACTCCTGGCAGTGACAGCACTTCTGGGTGGAATTTGACATATTTTTAAGAGCTTGTTCCTGCCATATTCTCTTCACCTATGCATTATGTGATGGCAAAGCTTCAGTGGCCATGAAAGGGAACTACCGGACCAGTCAAAGGAATGCAGAAAGTAATGGAATTCACTGGATATTACTGGTAATATTTTGTGCTTTTTGACCCTCATCACCCTAATCAAAGGCCCTTCCCCCAAAAACAGGGTTCATGAGATTCCAGTTACAGTTGTAACCCTTTAGAGTTCAGTGACTCTCCAATCCTAGGAGCTTTGTACCCAGCCAGATGGCATTAATGCCTACTCCACCAGCACTGCTTAAGTAGTTCTCTCCCAGGGAAGGGAGAATTTCTTTATTCCTTATATCTATTCAACTTAAAACCTTCTCTAAAGATGAAAGCTAACAGCTATCTAAGCTGTCATTGAGACAAGGAGACACCATCTTCAAGAGACTGAACTGCTTTGGGGTACATCGAGGCTGCAGAACACATTGAAACAACACGTCTGGAAACCCAGCCTACAGCAGGTGAATTAGACTGCATTCCTGTCATCAAATATTATTCTCAAGCATTTGAACTTCATAGCAGGCCAGGCACAAATACAGCCAATAGCACAGGTAGCAAACAAATACTTCTGTATTTCAGGTCCTAACAGATTCAGAGGCGTTCAGCGGTGTGTAGTACTGGAGGTGGGGTTGGGAATGATTACCCAGTTGTAACCATGGTGCCTAAACATCTGCAGACATGGTACCTGGGAATATTCAAAACCTTAAGCATGATCTACAGGAAACTTTAGTTGGCCGCCCCTGTCGTGACACCCTCTAATGTGAAGGTAAGTACCTGTGACAGCCTTGCTGAGGGGCTGCTCCTTAGGTAACAATCATTGAGTCCATCTGGGA